TGTATTATGAAAAAAAAAAAAAAAAGGTTGATTACATTTTTGGTTATGCAAGTACATAGAGCTGCATATTTATAAGGATGGCTATAATTAGGATAAATTAATATTATTAGTCTTCATTTCAGGCTTATATTTTATTTTAGTTTATTCAATTTTGCTTTTCAATTCCACATAAAATTTTAATTGTAGGGTTATTTTATATATATATATATATATTTTTTTAATTTTTCTTTGAAGGTTTTCATATAACTAATTAGTGAAAAAGGAAATTAAAAAGGTTAAAATTGGTTATTAAAAAAATTGGACTAATTAAATAGAAGTTTATGAAGCATGCTATTTAATTAAATTTATTAATTTTGACTTTGTGTACTACTAATTGTACTTATTTTAAATTAATTATTTAACCAATGTGACACGGTCTGAAATTTTAGAAAAGTAACCCTCAAATGTTGAAAATATGTCAATAATAAAGTCACATGATTTTGAAACGACTTTTGCAGAGTTCAAATATTGGACTTTTATACGGAAAATTCGATCCCACAGGTGGGCGCAGTGCAGTCATGCCCCCACCACCCTAATTGTATATTAGGTTGGTTATGTAATATTATTCTAAATTTATATGTTTTTAGACATGTTTTCCACGAAATACATTAGAAAAATTTTAGATGGATTACCATCTTTATGTTTCTTTACAAAATAGTTTAGAAAAATTTCAGGTGACTTCACATCTTTCATTAATCTATATATAAAAATTTAGATACTTTTGCATATGTTATATAATTTTTTAGGTACTTTTAATATTTTAAACATACAATTTTTATATTCTCATATACAAGATAATTTTATATTGTGTTATACGGTAAACTATGTCGTATATGGCATGTTAACCTTGCATCTTAAATTTATAATTACTCATATCTTTAATTTATAATTAATTAGCTAATGTTGTTTACCCTCATATTTGATATTGTTTACAGTACATAGCACGAACTACGCACTAATTTGTCTGACAAATTTTAACTCATAATCTCGCAAGCCAAAAAATGTTTCAATTAGAGCTATAAACAAATCAAATCGAGCTCAAACTTCTAATAATCGAGAGAGCTTGACTTTTTAACTAATCGAGTCTTCACGAGCTGAGATAAAATATTGACCAAAATAGAAAATCCGTATTTCTCGATCCTTAGGCTTTTTAATTAAAAAAAAAAAAAAACTAAAAAACGAGCTCGAAACTTGACAACCCTGAGTTAATGGACCTTACATAATGTATTATACACCTTAAAATATTCTAATGGATCTTTTTATTTATACATTCATATTTTTTTTTAATTATAAATACAAACTCAGGACCTTTTACCATAATGTATTATACACCTTAAAAATATTATAATCTAATGAACTTTTTATTTATACATTCATATTTATTTTTTAATTAGAAATACACAAATTTCCACAATTTATGAATGGAACATTTTACGATTTATTTTTAGCATTAGTTTCTACATTACATTTTTTTTACGACTCTTTTGTAAATGGTTTACAGATAATTTTAAAATTTGGATTATCGTAATTTTACCCAAAAAAAAAAAAAATAAATAAATAAATAATCAAAAGGAGGCCAACCAATTATCACAATTCACAAATCTGAAAAATAGAAAGAAAGAAAAAGGATATGATCTGGGCACTTTACTCAATCCAACAATTTTCTCAAAGTTCAATTCAAAACAAAGCTACCCAACCAAAGAAAAAGAAAAATCCTCAGAATATATCTAAATGACAACAACAACAATGTAGTAGTTCTTGGACCAAAACCAAGTCTAAATAGCAGAAAAGTATTCCTTGCTGAGCTTCGGGTCGGGTTTCATTGATTTGTCGCCGGGCTTCCATCCAGCCGGGCACACCTCATCCGGGTTCTCTTGCACATATTGCAAAGCCTGCCCAAAAAGGGCATTAACAACAATACATATGAGCTCGAAAAAATCATCACCATTATATATGTGCAAACACATCTATCGAACATCTCGTCTTTTGATTACAATTGATGGGTGCCACATGTTCAAGATTATTGGGAAGTCATAAATTTAGTACTAAATAACAGAAACTATGTAGCTTAAGGCATTCTTACGTGTATATTACCACTTATGTGTGTGTGTGTGTGTGTGTGTGTGAGAGAGAGAGAGAGAGAGAGAGAGAGAGAGAGAGAGAACCTGAAGAGTTCTGAGTGTTTCATCAACACTACGGCCAATGGCCAGGTTATTGATCGTCGAGTGTTGAATAACTCCCTCCTTGTCAATGATAAATAGCCCTCTTAATGCAATTCCCTGAAACAGTACCAACAATGGTCAATAACAATGTTCTGCAATCGTTTTGGCTAGTAAGAATGTTATTTGATATTATGTAATTATTTTGATAATATTGATGATAGTTGAGTTGGATTAAAGTTGAGTTTGATTTTAAAATATAGATTTGAGTATGAATTGGTAATATTTATGAACAAACACAATAAATCCGCTCAAGATGAGTTTTCTTTTTTTTGTTAACCATGGTTAATTTGGAAAAAAAAGTGATATGGTTAATTGTTAGTGAAATTTTGAGTTTATACTAAAATAATAATTAAAATAAAATAAGTAAATTTAATTTGATGTGAAAGTAGGAGAGAGATTACACGAAGTGATACTTAATTAAAATTATCTGAGTAGATAAATAATGAATTAAAGTTTATGAGATGTGTAAAAATGATTGATTGTTACAATTTAATTAAATTGATTATATTGAGGGCAGTATGGTCGGGTTGAAGTTGAGTTAGATTTTGAGTATGAATTGAGTAATTTTGTTTACAAACATTTTAACCAAGAGCAAAGTGGATGAAATTTATAAATAAAACTGAAGAATCTTGAGCTGAAGTAGAGTTCCGGATAAAAATAATCATCAAACAGAATTTCAGATTGTATTCGTAGCCAAGAGATATCCCACGATTAAATAATTACGTTGTAAAAACACAGTTTTAGCAGAATATATCACAAACCAAAAGTTATCGAATTATATGAAACACTAAAATATACCTGGTCGGGAATGAGCACGCCGTATGATTTTGAAATCGATTTGGTCACATCAGAAATTAATGGATAGTTTAAATCACCGAGACCCCCAGACTTCCTGTCGGTTTGGACCCATGCAAGGTGGGAAAACTACAATGAAGCATTAAACAAAAATACGTCAACAATGGGAAAATCACGGCTCGGAGACAGTCGAACATCGCAAAAAAAGTTCAATACCGATATATACTATAGTTTTAGCTGCCTGTGTAAGCTTAACAGCATAAAGAAACAGGTAAAAGAAAGTATTACCACACTGTCCACAGATACACCCAAAACTTCTGTGTTCAGCTTCTGAAACTCTTCATACCGGTCACTGAAAGCAGTGATCTCTACACAAGATAAAAAAAAGATATATGTATGTAAATGCAGGCATCAATAAAAAGTAAAATTGAGATACGGCAATTATAGACTCTGATGTAAAACTCACCAGTGGGGCAAACAAAGGTAAAATCCAGTGGGTAGAAGAAGAGAATAACATATTTCTTCCCTACGTACTCAGAAAGCTTAACCTGCAGGAAAGGAAGAGGAAGAAATAAAAAAAGCACTCTAATGTGAAGAAAACTAACATTAGAGGACCTTTTTTAAGTTACGTGACAACATTAGTGCGATTTTGGCTAATAAAATACAACCAGATACCCACTTAACACAATAATGTACAGAGATGAATGAAGAATATAGATCAAATCATTACGCATCCACAAGCTATTTATCATTTACACTGTTAATTCATCATCATCATCATCAACATCAACATACCCAGTATATTCCCAAACAGGTTGGGGTCTGGGGGGTCAGTTGTACGCAGACCTTACCCTTGTAAATTACAAGGAGGCTGTTTCCATAGCGACCCAAAGTGCGTTGCGTCGTTTGATATATTTTTTCTAGAAACTTCACTAATAGAAGAAGCACTAGAATTTAATTGAGCTATTACCTTAATAAATTCTTGATCGAACACAGCTTCTGCCTCGAAGTTTGGGGCTGTATTTCCAACCAGAGGAAGTTCGCTCTGTCAAAATATTACAAAATTACAGCAAGAATAGCTGTCACTAATAGTCTGTTGGCACAAGAAGTCTGCCCACCAGGAAATATTGAACCAGTATGCTAATTCTAGTGGATAATCCGTCTAATGTCTTTTCGTGACACCATTTTTTCTCTACATGTGACACAATGCGAATAGAAAACCCGGAGAAGCTCAAACAAAGATCCATCTGCTGACTTGAGTTCAGTGGGAACAACAGTGTAAAGTTTGAATCTTTTTTGTCTTGTCAAAACACCACAAACACAAGTGAGCCGGGATTTGAGAACATATTCCAAAATGTCACCCCATTATATACACACAGGTAATATTTATACAAACCACAAAGTAACCAAAACTCTGACTTCAACATAAACCAAAACTCAAAAAAAAAAAAAAAAAAAAAAAAAAAAAGAAAAGAAGAACTACTCTTACAGAATTAAAATGTGGCTCTCAAATTAAAGGATACTGAATATAATTTCTATTTGAGAAACAAATACTGCTATTTCGAAGTCGAACAACACTAACAAGCATAATAAAATACTCAGCACAATTTCCCATCACAATTAGGCTGTTACAGACGGAATAAAGACAGGAAATACTCACAGCGCGGACAACAAAACTGTGCCGTTTAGCGGAGGAAGAGCGGGAGGAGGAGGAGGAGAATGAGCGGGGAGTGCGGGCGGCGAGGGCTCCGCCGGAGAACGACGAGGCAATTGAAACAGAGCGAGGGGCGAGGGAATTTCCGGCGCCGGCGGAGGCTTTGGGGTTTGGAGAAAGAACAGCGGCCGTCGAAATAGCGGCAGAGCAAGCCATCGTCTGCAAATGCTATGGTTTATCTGATTTTCACTCACTCAACCGAGTCACTGGATATTATGCCATTGTTGGTGGCTAAGGTAGAAATGCCGGAACGACGTCGTTCCTATGGGCTACCTTATATTGGGCCTTGTTGGGCTTTTAATTAAGCTTCTCCGCTAAATGATACGAAGATATTGGGCCCAATGCCAGTGAGCCCGACAGGCCATTATCCACTGAGAGATTTTCCAGATAACACACGCCCCTTTAGCCTCATCTTCTTCCACCTCAAACACTCCTAGCGTGTAACAGCCATGGGGGAAACTCTCCACCGCCCCTCAGCCGCCACCGCCGCCGCCGGAACCACCTCCATCCCCTTCCACCACCACCACCACCCCCACAGCGCGCCCAAGAATCTTCAATTCCGCCCCCCGCCCCCCGCCAAACCCCCGACCGTCTCCCTCAAATCCCCGGACGGCGAGGCCCCCCCGTCCGCCTCCGCCGCCGCTCCAGCGGCTCTCCCTCCGGAGAAAACCCAGATCCAGGATCTCCTCCTCTATCTGGACTCCCTCGGCGTGGACTCCCTCCGCTGCCTCCACTCCTACCCGCCGCTCCTCTCCGCGCCGCTCCCCCAGATCCGGTCCACCGTCGACTTCCTCCTCTCCCTCGGCGTCACCGCCCAAGACCTCCGCCGCGTCCTCCCCATGTGCCCGGAGCTCCTGACCTCCCCCACATCCTCCGTCGTGGTCCCCGCGGCCACGTTCCTCCTCCGCGAGGCCGGCGTACTTGCCGCCGACCTCCGCCACGTCATCCACCGCCGCCCCCGCCTCCTCACCTGCAGCGTCGACCGGAGGCTCCGCCCCACGCTCTACTTCCTCCAGGGTACCATCGGCATCGAGCAAGTCTCCAAGTGGGCCCCACTGCTGTCTTGCTCGGTCGAGGACAAGTTCGTCCCCCGGATAGAATACATGCAGCGGCTCGGGTTTCCCTACAGGGACACTATTGCCATGTTTAGAAAGTTCCCTTCCCTCTTCTGCTACAGCATAAAGGAGAACTTCGAGCCCAAGTTCGACTACTTTTTGGTGGAGATGGGTCGGGAGATGAAGGAGCTTGTGGCCTTTCCGCAGTACTTCTCGTTCAGCCTGGAGAACAGAATCAAGCCCAGACACAGGGCTTGCATGGAGAAAGGCATTTACCTGCCATTGCCCACAATGCTGAAATCGCCCGAGGCTAAGTTTCGGGAGAGACTTGATTTGTGCTACAGTTCGTCTTTGCCGGTGAGAGATTCTCCTCTGTGGCGCACGAATGTAGAAACCGACATTGATGATAATGTGACTTAGGTAAGGGGAGAACAAAAAAAATGATCTTGCTTTGTAAATTAGCTTCATTTTGTTGATACCAATTACCATTATGTGTATGTTGGATTCTACTTGTTAAATGATTATTGTGAAAACTAGTTTGATGTTCGGTGTTGAAATACAGAGTAGTGATATGCCATTGTCATTATGCCGTAAGGTTGTTTGTGAGTGGTTCGTCTCTTAAAAAAAAAATGGACTGGGGAACAAATTTCTATTCATGAATATGATTCTTCGGATGGATGATGAGTATGTGAGACTGATGACGGGATATGAAATAGTTTACATTGTTCAGAAGCTTCTTTTATCATCGTTAGGACCATTTGATTCTAATATGTCAACTGAATTCAGGAATGAGTATATTTTGCTGTCTAATTTGATATGAAGCGACTCTTTTGTTTGTCCTTTGTGAATGATTCTTTGTTATTTGTTCACCCTATTGGAGCTTATCACGCATGATGAGAGTTTCGGGTTGAAAAAGAAGTTTTTTTTTTAATTATTTTTCTTTTTAAGCTGTTGGGTTTAGGATAGCAGATTAGCAGGAATGCAGATATACATCAGGGTTTTGATATGTGATTCGAGCCAGATTTAGGTGTAACATTTGGTGTATTTAACATGGGTTAATACATCCAGTTGACTCATTTTGTTGATAGTGTGTTATCATCTCGTTTGGTTTTTATGTGGTATCGTCATGTTTGGTTTTAAGGAAGTTACTCGATGGTCGAGACTGTTGAGGCTTTAAGGTTCTTATAATGAGAGATCAAATTCTCATTTTTCCTATTTATGGTTTGAAGGAAGGTGATCGATAGTCGGGACTGTTGAGGCTTTAAGGTTCTTATCATGAGAGATCAAATTCTCATCTTTCCTGTTTAGGAAAAAATCGAAGTTCAGGTCGTATGATCGTTAGTTTTTCGAGTTGAAAGCTAATAAGGGAGAACCATATATTCAGGTGTGTACATTAGTTGTGATTTGTTGTATTATCTCTCTCAAGCCAAGCAAAACAGAGCCCAACTGGATTTTCTGTAGACTTCATGTATAATTGAATTGAAGTACGAGAATAAATTCTTTGGTGGATTTTCGATTAATGAATATATATTGCTAGTTGAATCTCTGGGAATGGAATACATAAATGAAATATGGTATCGGGAGATGCTACAGTCCCATTACGGAACTATTTCGTCAGGGTTTGTAACCATTAGATCAACTATCACCGATTGTTACATGATGATCTAACGGTTACAAACTACGACGGAATGGTTTCGTAATGGGACCGTAACTTTTCTATCATCCAATATCTCGACTTGATGAAAGGATGGATACAAAGCTTAATATAAAAATTGATAGAGCTGATAATATATAAGTATATAGCTCATTATCATTTTATGACAAATCAAAATACTATGCAAATTATATGAACTCGTCTCAACAAATTTTCTCATACCTTTGTTAACAACATAAGAGGGAAAAATCAATAATTGAAAATTGGAAATGATATCGTAATAAAGTCAAAAATTCAGATAGTGCTAATTTATATTTAAAAATACTGATGTGATGAGAAAATATGTTATAAACTTTGTAATTGTGTAAACTTTCCCAG